AGATTATTAATTACAATTATTATTAATTATTATTATTAATTATTATCACTCATCCCTCTCTCTTATTCTCTCTTTCTCTATTTTATTTATATACAATACACTTTACAACAATACACTTTACAATACAATACGCTTTACAATACAATGCACTTTACAATACAATACACTTTACAACAATACACTTTACAATACAATGCACTTTACAATACAATACTTTACAACAATACACTGTACTACAGCACTTTCACAATACAAAAGAAAAACCATACTATTAAAAAAAGGAGAAATCAGAGAGGCTTACTTATAAGCAATAGTACTTACATCCTGCAGTAGTGAATAAAGAAAAGAAAAAAAGAAAATTCAAAATTATTATAGCCTGTATTTAAAACAAAAGCTCATAGAATTTATATGGGGAAAGAAGAATTCTGTGAAAAAATATTATACCCTCCTTCTGAATAGTTGATTAAAAACATGATATGCATTCACACACACACATATTTATGTATCTTTATATATATATATATATATATATGCATGTAATTCATGTATATATATATTTATATATATATGTGTGTGTAGATGGATTCCAGTTGACGTCACATTTTTTCCTACTGCGGCGGCGTTGTTGGCCTAACAGGAAACTGTCGGAAAATAATAATTATTTTGATCAACTGATCCTCTCTGAAAGTACATCTTTGTTTTTATTTTTCATTTCGTATTCTATGCATTGTTTTCCAGTTCAAAGTCTTACGCAGCATTGTCAGATCAGAAATGGTATAAATCTAAGCTTACACTCATACACAGATGGACATACGCTCCCTGATCCGTACATGTTCTAAGACGAATGGAAGAACGATGTTATTTTGATGCCTTTGTTGATTACAATTATTTGACAAATACTCTAAGATCTTTCTCGAATAAATCGCTTAATGCATACAAGTCTCTGGAAGCCTACAATTTTTTCATTTGTGGGCATGTTCAAGACATATTTTACCATGGAATCGACAAAAGCAGTAATTTCTGTTTCATTAAGTCTGAGGCACAGTCAATATTTTTTTGTTTTAGTTTATCGAAACTTTACCAACAGCAATTCAATTATTCAGAACAGAAAATTACAACATTTTTAAACTGGAAGTAACTTAATTCTGAAATTTTAATTCACTCTTGCATAGGTGAATGCCTTTTACTTACCTGATATAAATTGAGCACTGCAAATGTGTGCGTTGTCATTTTCTTTGAGCTCCAGTTCTCACGTCTGATGGCAGCTATCCATTTTTTTCGTAACGCAAGGGACTGTTCATTGTTTCCAAATGGAATCCGATAAAAACTCAAATTGCCACCAGATTTTCTTCGATTCGTACAACCAACGGCACAGAACGAGTCGAGCATGAGCATGTTTGTGGTCTGTCAGAGAGAGTCTTGCCTGCCAGCAATTGCGCATGCGCTAATTTCAGCGCTCAAATGTAAACATGGAATTCATCTATATCTATATATATATACATGAATATATATATACGTGAATACATACATATATATATATATATACATGAATATATATATACATATACATATTTATATAAATAAACATAATATGTACACATACACATTGTGTATCTGTGTATATATATATTATCAGTATTATCAATTTTGTCAATTTTATCTATTATTATTATTATTATTATTATTGATATTGTTTTGCTGTTATTACTATTATTATTATTATGGTAAGCCATATAAAGAGCAACACTGAAAAGTTTGAGAATTCTACCCCCAAAGGCATCAGTGCAGGTCAAAACACACTGCCAGGAAAGAAAGAAAGGACAGAACACCAGAATGACCAAACACAGAAGACCAAAAAGAAGACAGAAGAAGAGACAAGGAAAAAAAAGAAGAGACAAAAGACAAAAAGAAGAAACAGAAGACCGTCGCCTATTCACGTAGTAGAAACATTTTACAGCCTCTGAAGGCTATTTATTCCAAAGCCTACAAATGACAGTAAAAAAAAAAAACATCTTGAGAACTGAGAAGTCGACGATCGACTTGCATTGGATTGAAGGGCATAGAAATTCTTTTAGGTTACGCGGGTTGATAGAAAACGAGGTAAAAACGTATAGAGGGGATATGATTTGTTGGTTGCAATCTTGCACAAGACCGAGAGAGCCCCAATACCCCTATGGTGCCCAGTGTCCAAATTTAAGTCAAATAGGAGGAGAAATGTAATGGGATTTAAGGAACGATTAAGCAATAGTATGACTCTTGTATATTATATATATATTATATATATGTGTATATATATTATATACACATGCATATATATATATACATACATATATACATATATGCATACACATATATCCATATATACATATATATATACACATAAAAATATTTAGTTTATATATTTGTATATATTCATATATATATATATATATACACACACACACGTTTATATATTTATATATACACACACACACACACACACATATATATATATATATATATATATATATATATATATATATATATTTATATATATATATTTATATATATATATATATAGATATATATATATGCAGGTAGGAATTTTTGTGTGTGCGTAAATAAATAAATATGTATATATATATATATATATATGTATATATATGTGTTTGTGTGTGTGTGAATATATATACGCACATATGCATACATATATATGTTTATACATGTATATGTATACAAATTTACACACAAATGTGTATATATATGTATTTATACAAATTTATATATATATGTATGTATTTATACATATATTATATTTATATATGTATATATATACACACACACACACACACACACATACACACATGCACGCACGCAATCACTCACAAACACATACATGCATACATATATGGATACATAACATACATATATAATATATATATGTATATATGTACATATGTATTTATACATACTTATATAAATGTTTTTTATGGTTGTTTGCATCTGTCACAGAGTCGTGACTGAAAGGAGTGTGGACACTTGCATTCTTGCTGCAGGAAGTTAATAAGTAAATAAGGAAATCTTTAAATAAGTAAGGAGGAACTAATTCAGTGAACAAGGAAATAAGTAAATAAGTAGATAAAGAAATAAGTAAATAAGGAAACAAGGAAATGAGTAAACATGTAAATAAGTATATAAGAGTAGATAAGTAAATAAGTAAATAAATAAAAAGATAAGGAGGAACTTGCTGCTGGAAGTAAATAAGCAAATAAATGAGTAGATAAGTAAATAAGGAGATAAGGAGGATAATCCACCGGTTCTCGCCACACTAGACTTTCTGTTGTTGTGTCTGTCCCTTTAAGCAACACTGGTATGTTATGTTTATGTTACATTATGTTAAGTGGTATGTTATATTACGTTATGCATTATGTTATGTTATGTAGCGGTTAGTAAGTCAGTAATAGCATATGTATAAATAATAGTATAAGTCTTACTATTAATAATAATAATATAAGCATGGGATTTATACCCATAGGAAGACAGAGAGTTAAGGAACTGTCTTTCTGTCTCGCTTCTATCTGTATGTCTCGCTTCTAACTGTATGTCTCCCTTCTGTCTGCCTCGCGATATTAAAAATTCAAATTATATGTAGTCTGATAAACTTTCTTTATTTTCACTTGTATATTAATATTATAGAAAAAAAAACATATGTGTATACTTACTCACTGTAGATCCTGATTTATTTGATTGATAGTGATGAAATCAGTGTTATTTTCAAGTATTTTAAATCTTTTTTAAATCTACTTATTTTATTTCATTCTAGCATTTAAAATCTACTTACTTATTTACTTACCTTGTTTATTTATTAACTTAAATCATTAAATTTTGGACACGTATGGAGATGAATTCACTTTTGGCCTCTGGTCTTATTTGCATTTGAATTGATTACTTTATGCCAGTACCCCTCTCCCTTTACAAAATCTGTTCCATACTCCATTTCCTCTATACCCTTTCCACCACCATTCTCTTTTACAGTGTTTTACAACCATTGACGTCTAACACATTTTATCCTAATCTACTCTACAGTATGACCGTATGAACCTTTAATGCCTAGCACATGTTTGTTCTAACCATTAACCGTTTCCTCCTGCAGTGTAGCTCTCCCTTCCTCAAACTCATGCTCTCCAATTGATCTGATCTGAATTATTAACCCCTCCCTCTTTCTTACAAATCCCTGTCATACTCCATTCCCCTCCTCTTACTCTTTTCATTGCCATTCTGTCCTACAACACTCTAACATCTAACAAATTTTATCCCAAACGTTAACATATTTCAACCCTTTCTCACTACAATTCCCATCTATTTTTTTTTATCCTAGACGTTAACACATTTCAACCTTTTTTCACTAGAGTACTTCACCATTGAGTTATGAGACGTTTAATGTCTAGCACGTTTAAGTCTTCTAACCCTGCCCATTTACCATTCCTCTCCGTATCTCAGTATAGTCATCACTTCTATAAGTCACTTATTATAACCATCAGCGTTCTTACAAAAAAAATAGAACTTAGTTTTGTGACAAAATTATATTTTAATTTATTGTTACTGGCATTCATATTGATACTGTAATAATAGGATTTTGATGACAATTGGTACTGGCATTTCTTATTTCTTATTATTATCATTTCTGTGTTTGTACTACATCATCATATGTGTGATCGGTTTTCCTTAAATTGGGTGTAATTCTTATTGTCATCAACAGTAATGAAAATTCTCTCAAAATTCCCATCATAAATGTTTATCACTTTTGTATTTACATAACAGTACATTATGAAATGATATTTTTTTATTACTTTTAGTACCTCATGTCTAGTTACCACCACCACTCCTGTTTTGTTTTTTGTTTTTTTATTGTAGCTTTCCTCATTTTGGTAATAAGTGATACCAAATAGTTTGTAATAGCTTCTGCATTCTTAATATCAACATTATGTAGTTCGTTATTAGGTGTGCTTTCCATTCACAGGATGAGTTTCCTTGCTGATGGAATGCCTTTGGCCTCAGTTGTGAATGAGGGAATATTAGGCACAGGAATCAGTATCAAAGAAGAGCTCAGCGAAGATATTTCCAAGGATATTTGTTTAGAAATTAAAGAAGAACAGCTCGATTACGCAGATCATGAGAGAGATGAAGTGAGCGACATGAAAGTGAAACACGAGTGTCTTTTCTTTCATAATCTTCATGACCAAAGGCATGAAGCAGATGCAAAGGACTCGTGTGACTTGGTTCAGGATCATAGTGACGTGTTAAGAGTGCCATTAGTGGCTTAGGATTGTTGGAACAACAGTTCACCAAAAGGGGATCAGGCGATACATAAGGAAAGTCTTAGGGATACAGAACCAGAAGTAGAACCGACGCTGAAGCGTCTTGTATGTGAGGCGTGCGGCAAGAAATTCTCTAAAAGGAGATATCTCAATATTCACATGAGAGTCCACACAAAGGAGAAGCCCTACAGATGTGATATTTGCGACAAGGGCTCTCCATCAAAAAACAATCTAGTAAAGCATATCAGAGTACATACAAAGGAAAAGCCATACAGCTGTGAAATCTGCAACAAGGCCTTCTCGGAGAAAGGTCCTCTAGTAACGCACATGAGAATACACACAAAGGAGAAGCCATTCAGCCGTGAGATTTGCAACAAGGCCTTCTCACATAAAAATAGTCTTGTTAGGCACACGAGAGTACATACAAAGGAGAAACTATACACCTGTGAGATTTGCAACAAGAACTTCTCACATAGAGATAGTCTAATCAGGCATATGAGTGTGCACGCAAAGGAGAAGCCATTCAACTGCGATATTTGCCTTAAGGCCTTCCCTTCCAAAAGCGTTCTAACAAGGCATATCAAAGTACATACAAGGGAGAAGCCATATAGCTGTGAGACCTGCAGCAAGGTCTTCCCAGAAAAAGGTCACCTGGCAACACATATGAGAGTACATACAAAAGAAAAGCCATACAGCTGTGAGGTTTGCAACAAAGCCTTCTCGCATAAAATCAATCTAGTTATCCATGTGAGAGTACATACAAAGGAGAAGCCATACAGCTGCGAGGTTTGCAGCAAGGCCTTCTCACATAAATCTAATCTAGTTATCCACATGAGAGTACACACAAAAGAGAAGCCGTAAGGCTATGAAGCTTTTTATGAAACTGTTACCTAATGCAAAATCCTTATATAAAACTGTTACCTAATGCTAAATCTTTTCACGAAACTGTCAGCTGGTGCCAAGTACGAGAGAACGCCCAAAAGAGGAGCCAAACGGACGTGATATTTGCAACGGGAAAAATAGAAAGCTAATCTGTTGAGCCAGTTGAGGGTACATGCAAAGGAGAATCCCAACCGATGTACAGTAGTACAAATAAAGGAAAAGCCTCATCTCTGCGAGGTTTGAAACAAAGGCCTTGTCACAGAAGGTGAGAAGAGATAAGGTTGAGAATTTGTTTTCTCAGAGGAAATGTGGGTCATACTGGTGAATACACACAAACCAGAACCATAGAGATATTCGCTTGACCTTATATTTCTGAGGTCTAGAGACATGCTTTCACTTAGAGAAGACAGAGAAGATAACTGCATCGAAGAGCATATTTTATCTAAGAGGAGCACTCTTTCCCTTAACATTTTTGGGGAAAAATTGCCCGAAATTTTGGTGGATATCATTATCTGATTTATGGACGTGATGTGTAATTCTTGCCCGGCATAATGAACTTTCATGTGTTATGATTTGTATTTAAGTGTCCATGGATTTTTTTTTGTTCAAGTAAACTCATGTCTGCTGTTGCTAATTATATAAATATGTATGTGTTTGGTTGAGTGTATATTTATATATATGTATATGTATGTCTATGTGTGTGTGTATGAATATATATTAAATAAAGTAGTTTTATAATTGAATTCCCTCACATAAGTAAATTAATTTTTTAGTTTTTTTTAAAGTTTTGTAATAATCATTATTGATAAATATTATGATCTGAAAATACAAAGGAATTATATAGTACAATAACGAGATGGAATTGCCAGATGTAAATAATGCTGAGCCAGCGGTCTCGAACTGGAACTTGGAGGTGAGACGCATGGTCTTGCGGCATTTTGGATTATGGTTCAGCTGCTACTCTAATGTGGATCATATACAAAGTTTCCAATATGATTATTTGATGATTTATACAATGATAGCTATACATTGATACGTTATACTTACGCATTTGTGGGTCTTAAATGTTTCCGATCTTTTTCTAATGACCAGATTTTTCTATCAACACATTACATTGATAAACCATATATTGATTTAATTTTTCCTATTTATTAGAGGGAAGTCCTCTTCAACTTGCTTGTCATTTAGGCACATTTTCTTTTTGTTAAGTGCAAGGAGTAATTTCACCGATCTGTGTGTTAACATTTCTATGTTCCTTTTTGGTCTTTGCCAGATATTATTTATAAACCTATAGCGTTTATATTTATAGACCTTTAGTGTTTATATTTATAGACCTTTAGTGTTTATATTTATAGACCTATAATGTCTAATATATTTATCAATCTATAGTGTTTAATATATTCATACTAGTGTCTCTATTTATAGACCTAAACTATATATATCTCTAGGCCTATAATGTTTATATATATATGTATAAGTATATATATATATACATATGTATAATATATATATGCTATATATATAGATAGATATATAAATATATAAATATATATACATATATAACTCTACATATATTCATGTATATGTATGTATATGTATGCATATAAATATATGTATAAATTTATATGTATACATATGTTTCTATATATATACACAGTCATATAAATATGTAATTATACATATGATTATAGATATATAAATAAGTATAAATATATGCATATATATAAATGTGTATATATACATATATATATATATATATATTTAAGGGGTATGAATGAAAATGAATATACATACATGTACACATGTATGTATATATATATACACATGTGTATATATATATATATATATATATATATATTTATATATATATATACATGTATGTATATATATATCCATATATATATATATATATACAAATATATATATATATACATATACATATCTCAACATATATATATATATATATGCATATATATATATATCAACATGAATATGGTTCACGTATAATTATGTGTATATATATCTATCGATCTATTTATCTATTTTAGTGTTTAATATATTCATACTAGTGTCTCTATTTATAGACCTAAACTATATATATCTATAGGCCTATAATGTTTATATATATATATGTATAAGTTTATATATATATATACATATGTATAATATATATATGCTATATATATAGATAGATATATAAATATATATACATATATAACTCTACATATATACATGTATATGTATGTATATGTATACATATAAATATATGTATAAATATATATGTATACATATGTTTCTATATATATATATACACAGTCATATAAATATGTAATTATACATATGATTATAGATATTATATAAATAAGTATAAATATATGCATATATATGAATGTGTATATATACATATATATATATATATATATATATATATATATATTTATACATATATATACATATATATATATATATATATATATATATATATATATATATATATTTAAGGGGTATGAATGAAAATGAATATACATACATGTACACATGTATGTATATATATATATATATATATACATATATACACATATATATATATATATATATATATATATATACATGTATGTATATATATCCATATATATATATATATCTCAACATATATACATATATATATATATATATATCAACATGAATATGGTTCATGTATAATTATGTATATATATATATCTATCAATCTATTTATCTATTTATATATATATATATATATATATATATATATATATATATTTACACACACACATACATATATATGTATATACCTATATA